AAAGATTTTGCATGTGACAAGTGCAAGCAGAAATTCGGATACAAATGGACTTTGCTCCTCCATCAAAGTACAGTACACGAAAATTCTAAAGGTTTTGCATGTGATGAGTGCGAGAAGACATTTGGACAAAAATCAAATTTGCTCAGACACCAAAGGACAGTTCACGTATAGATCGCAAAGATTACGCATACCACGCAACTGCTAGAATAGTCATGATGATTGGTAATTTTAAATCTATGCAGATACTAATCCATATCTTTTTCTGAAATTTCAATAAAAATTGCACCCAAATGATTGGGTCTTAACTAAACCTTGACGATTCAATTATCATTACACCTTCGTTGTGGGGGTGCTTCAATTTTTAATCAAACGATATTTCGCGTACTATTTATTACTTTCCGATTGGTTTTTGGGCTACTTAGTAGTGAACTCTTCATTCAACTATCATCCATACGTTTTTTTCACGTCTTGTTTGGTACGCTGCGAATGGGGCGTACATTTGATTGTCTACAAGATTCTGTATAAATTTCACCTAATGATACACGAATCGATCAAACACAGGTAAGTGGAAGATTTTGATAAATTTGCTGACAGACAAATTATTTATGCTACGATAAACGTCGTAGAAGAGAAAAAAGTTTCAACTTCTTTCAAATATCTTAATGATGAAAATTTTCGATGTGAATTTATGCGTTTCTGCATATTTTTAAGATTGTTTGTTTCTTTACGTTAGCTTTTCATAATTTTGAAGTTTCCCACCAAAAAACAGTTCATGTAAGTCGCAAGTATTTTGCTTGAAACAAAATGAGAGAAGAAATGATGATTGACAAGTGTAAATATGCATACTTATACATACGTTTTTCAACAATTTCATTAAAAGTCGCGCCAATTGGATTTTGAACTTGACCATATTTTGCATACTGCTAGTTGCTACTCTCTTTAATTTTTTTGTATCCTTGATTTCTGCAGCTATTCATGACATGATTAGATCAGCTGTAATTTTTTTCACGTCGTGTTTGGAGCTGTGAAAATTTCAAACTGTTAGTTGTATTCTGGATTTTTGAAATACCTCACCGGTTAGTACACTGAACTAATCAAACATACACTAGTGAAGGACTTTGATGATTTTATTGACTGATTAATTCTGCTAATAGAAACGCGATCGATAATAACGATAAGTTTTTACTGAAAAAAAAGAAAGCACTAACAATCGTATTATCCTTTTTTCATTACTTTGATCTATCCAAAATCTTATATTCAAGTTCTTCAAATTGCATGAGCGGCAAATAAAATTTGCGTGGGTCGGCACATTTTCTGATCTACCAATGGGCGAAAAACACAAGCTTCCATAGACCAACAGGCGATCGAAGCAAATTATCCGAGCGCTACTACACAAACAACACTATACATTGAAAAATACTTCAAATATGCTTATGGCTATGCGGAGCTTTGGCCCGCAGCTGCCATACAAATACGATGCAAATCCTTGTTCTTCAGTTTGTCGAAAATCATTTCACAGCAGAAAATCGGCAGCCTTCAGCGTGTCAGCTCCATGAAAGGATCCAGAGCCCAAGACCGGAAAAATCTTCTCAATGATATCTCGCAATGATGTATGACACGAGCTTCCTCGTACTTTTTGGACAGCACACACAGTTTTTCCGAGCGCGCAAACTTGAAGTAGTCCTCAAATGTGAGTTGTCTCGCCGCCTCGTTGGGTTGTAAATGGATTAGACCATAAAACGACAAAGTCGGAGTCATCATTATTTCATCCACTTTGTTTACGAACTCCCCATCGTTATACCACGATTTTTCGAGATTCGACAACTCGAACCATTCGTACTTGGTGAAAAATTTCATGATCGTCAAGGCGTCGTTTACATGTCGTATCCTCTATGCTCCAGACGTTCGATAACCGCCAGCAGGTCAGAGGTGATCTGCAGCTCGATGATAATGATCGAAAGCCGTCAAAACAATTTTAATGAAATTGTTACAGTTTTTATTGTATCTATTGTAGTGTAAGTAGATTATTTCAAACAAGTCGGTATTTTATTTAAAAGTGAGAAAATATGGAACACGCCGATCACGTCATGCATCCGAGCGGTAGTAGATAGGGGGGAGGGGGGGGGGGGGGNGCGGTAGTAGATAAGGGGGGGGGGCGAGGTGCGAATATTTGAATGAACATTGAAACTTTTTATAATTTATGATATTTTGTATGAGAATCTATTGACTCGATAATACCAAGAGATTTTTTTAAGCATGTTTTAGTTTAGAAGGCCAAAAAAATTCCTCGTATACCGGCACCAAGTTAGAGTTTTAAACCGATTCAAATATTGTAAGGAGAATGTATAAACGAATAAATCGATAATTTAATCGTAAACAAACGATTTTCACATATTGCCTTGACACACTGATCATGTTTGCGGTAAAAACAAATAAGTTCAAATGTTGTCTTCCCCGATGAAACAAGTCTTCCCATAACATAAATTTTACTCGTTCAATTTCCGTGGTACTAAATAGATAAACCTTCATTTAGTTTAGGCACGAAAATGGACAAAATTGAGAAAAAATTGGAAGAAGTTGTCTTTGATGACAAATCACGTGAACAAGACATTATTTTATCCCTCGACAAACAACACGTTTGTGGTATTTGTCAGGAGGCATTTACACAAGAATCAAGCTTGATAGCACACCGCGACACAATTCATAAGGAACGACAAAATTACGAGAGCGACAAGTGCGAAAAGAAATTTGAGTTTCGAAGTCATTTGAGTAGACACCAAATATCAGAACACAAGAGCCGCAACGACTTTCCATGTGACAGCTGTGAGAGAAAATTTGTGAAAAAATCAAGTTTGATTACGCACCAAAAATTAGTACACAAGAATCGCAAAGATTTCTCATGTAACAAGTGTGACAAAAAATTTGAAAATAAATCAAATTTAATTAATCACAAAAAAATATTCCACGAAGTTTTCAAAGATTATTTATGTGAAAAGTGCGCCAAAAGATTTTCAAGTAAACAGAGTTTACTCACCCACGTAAGAGGAATCCACGAGGGTCGCAAAGATTTTGCATGTGACAAGTGCGAAAAAAATTTTAGATTTAAATCAGATTTGTTGAAGCACGAAAAGACAGTCCATGAAGGTCGTAAAGATTTTGCATGGAAACATTGCGAGCAAAAATTTATGTCTCAAAGGAATTTTATAAAACACCAAAAAACAGTCCACGAAAGTAGCAAAGATTACGGATGTAATAAATTTGAGAAGATATTTACAACAAAATCCAGTTTGCTTTTACACGAAAAGACAATCTACGAACATCGGAAAGATTTCGCATGTGATAAGTGCGAGAAAAAATTTGGACAAAAACATCATTTGCTGTCGCACCAAAAGATAATTCACGAAGGTCGCAATGATTACGCATGTAACAAATGCGAGAAGAAATTTGGATATAAGTCAGATTTGTTGAAACATCAAAGGACCGTTCACGAAGGTCGTAAAGATTTCGCATGTGACAAGTGCAAAAAGAAATTCAAACAAAAAACGGGTTTGCTCTACCACCAAAATACAGTACACGACGGTCGCAAAGATTACGCATGCGACCAGTGCGAAAGTAAATTTGGACTGAAATCGTCTTTGCTCATACACCAAAAGATAGTTCATGAGGGTCGCAAAGATTACGCATGTGACAAATGCGAGAAGAAATTTGGACGTAAACAACGTTTGCTTTTGCACAAAAAAATATTCAACGAAGGTCGCAAAGATTTCGCATGTGATAAATGCGAGACTAAATTTGGACAGAAATGGACTCTGATTCAGCACCACAAGACAGTGCATGAAGGTCGCAAAGATTATGCATGCGATCAGTGCGAAAAGAAATTTAAACAAAAATCGGGTTTGCTCTACCACCAAAATACAGTACACGACGGAAGCAAAGATTACACATACGACCAGTGCGAGAAGAAATTTGGACATAAATCTGATTTGTTAAGACACCAAAATAGAGTCCATGAAGGTCACAAAGATTACGCATGCGAGATGTGTGAAAAGAAATTTGGACGAAAATCGACTTTGTTCTTACACCAAAAGACAGTTCACGAGGGTCTCAAAGATTACGCATGTGACAAATGCGAGAAGAAATTTGGATATAAGTCAGATTTGTTGAAACATCAAAGGACCGTCCATGAAGGTCGTAAAGATTTTGCATGTGACAAGTGTGATAAAACATTTTCACAAAAAATTGGATTGCTTTACCACCAAAAATCAGTACACGAAGGTCGCAAAGATTTTGAATGCGATAATTGCGAGAAAAAATTTGGACAAAAAGCGCATTTGCTTATACACCAAAAAACAGTCCACGAAGGTCAAAAAGATTTTACATGCGACATTTGTGAGAAGCAATTTACACAAAAAAAGAGTTTGCTCTTCCACAAAAACATAATACACGAAGGCAAGAAAGATTTTGCATGTGATGAGTGCGAGAAAAGATTTGGACAAAAATCAAACTTGCTCAGACACCAAAGGATAGTTCACGTATAGATCGCAAAGATTACGCATACCACAACTGCTGGAATAGTCATGATGATTGGTAATTTTAAATATATGCAGATACTAATCCATATCTTTTTCTGAAATTTCAATAAAAATTGTACCTAAATAATTGTGCCTTGAGTGTTCAACTATCATTACACCTTCGTTCCATGTTTAGTTGTGGGGTGCTTCAATTTTTATTCAAACGATATTTCGCGTTCTATTTATCACTACTCTCGATTTATTTTTTGGGTACATGCTTTTTGCAGCTTTTGATCTAACTATCAGCCATAATTTTTTTTCACGTCTTGTTTGGTGTTGCGAATTGGGCGAACATTTGGTTATCTACTGGATAAGAGCGTGTGTCACGCTCCACCTGACAAGTTTTTCAACATTTCAGCAAATTTTTAAGATTGTTTGCTTTTTTACGGAATGCATAATAACATAATTTTTTTAAATAAAAGAGAGCTCTTCACAATTTTGAGATTTTATTTTTATTGCAAAAAAACTTTTATAATTATAAACTTTTTTTTTAATTCAAATCGACTTCAACAGTTTTCATTTAATCTTAGCTTACTCTCAACTATTTACAATGGATATTGTTTTTTTATGTATTATAACAGAACTGAATCTCATAGAGCTTGTGACATTATTCAATCATTTCATGTGGCCTTTTATGTTCAATAACAATTTTTCGAACATGAACCAAAGGTCACATTCTTGAACAACAATTAAAATTTACAACATTATTTACTGCAATTATAAAATTGTAATAAATAAAAGTTTATGATAAAAATTATAAATTTTTGTTTCATCTACGCTTAATACAACATTGCATCGTAGAAAATACATATTTTATAAAAGTTATTTATAAAAAACGAGCCTATCCTTCAACAACATTAGCAGAATTCAAATTAATCAGTGTATTTGAGTGTTCAGCAAGCTCTTGTATGCTAACTCTCCCTCTTTGCTTTACAAATTTAGCTACAGCTTCAAGTTCTTCTTGTGAAATATAAATAAATTTTCCTCTATCATCAATAACCCCACTAAGTATACCATCAGCCTGCATTTGCTTTATTCTATCTATTACTTTGGTAGTTTTCAAACTAAATTGTTGAGCCAAGTCTTCAAGAATGACTATTTTGTTACGCTTGATATGGTCAACAAAGTCTTTAAGGAGATTCGTCTCTTTTTCATCATCATTTTCTTCATAACCCTCTTCTTCTACCTGAAAAGCTTCTTTCATTTTCAAATATTCTTCGTGCTCACGTCTTTCTTTTTCTTCTATTGCAGCTTTTTCAGCTTCCTCTCGTTTTCTTTCTTCTTCATTCTGACGAGCAATTTCTTCGTCACGTATTTTCTGTTGTTGTTCCTCGCGCTTTTTACGTTCTTCGCGTTGACATTCCTCTGCAATTCAATATTCATTAATAAATAAAAAATTATTGTTATTATTTTATTGATTGATTATATATAAGTGAAAATATAAGTATATAGGTATTATATATTCAAGTTGTTTCACATAGCCAAAGACAGTATCAGTTTCAGTAATGCATATCAATTTACAAGCATTGTAAAATAAGTAGCACTATGAATAAATATTGAGGCGATCAGTTTTTTTAAATTATGTACATGCTTGGAAATAATTCAATGTCACAAAATTATAATTACCTATTTCTCTTTGTGCTTTTCTCTCTGCCTTAGCTTCAAGTTTAGCCCTTTTCTTTGCTCCCAACTTGCTTAGATCAGCTTCAGCATGATCTTCATTGTCATCACTATTATCAGCCCTTCTATCATCTGGGGCAGCTTGTTCATGAACAGCGGCTAATCTAGGAACATGTCGTTGTCTGACACCTCGAACAACTCCTCTCCTTGCTGCTTGTCCTTGTTGCCTATCTTCACCGTCTTCAGATTTCTTTTGCTCTACAATTTTAATATTTATTTTGAACAGTCTGTGAATATATTGATAAAAATAATATTTTTTATAAATTAGACTGAAAATTTTTCATATGAAGATAAAAATTATTACAATGAAGTAAGACCACAGAAACGTAACAACAGATAGAGTTACTTGTAAACATCTGGCCATTCAAACAGCAGGTTACTTTATCATAATACACTTTCAAAACACAACAGAGAATCGTAGGCATAATTCCACTTTAATTACTTACGTGATTTTTTTATCATAAACAATGTTATGAAAATACCAACAACAATAACAGCAACTAGTGCTATACATATTAATAAAACAGGATCCATTTTACAATGAATCGAAACGTATCACAGCTTTGTTTGGTAGCTCGATTCAGTTTTTTGATACCAGCAACATTGCGAATTGCGTCTGCTAGCCTGCCCACGCATATACACGTATTTTGTTACCGCAGGTCCGCAGCGTGTATAGGGATTCGCGTGTCAGACGCGGCGTAGTAATTATCCGAGATGCTGCCATCTTACCACAGCTGAAACAACTTGACGCGCCGCCGCGGAAGAATGAAGATCAACCTTGCAAATTGTTTTGGGTGGATAGAAGTGCCATCTGGATGGAAAACACGCATTATCGGCCGTATTCAGCTGTCGCGGTACTGCTTGCCGAAATTAGGTGACGTGTGCCGTTGTATATGTGTTTTTTTCGCACTCACCGGGCTGTTAGAGACGCAGACATTGTGCGAAGCGCTTTGCACAGTTCTTTTAGTTTAGGGCCCTAGTGTTAGTAAAAATTTTGCAAAAATGTGGAAGGTGCTACAGCATTTCGTTGCACTTTGTGTAATAATCCACTCGACGTCGGCTCTGTACTTTCACATAAGCGAATCCGAGAGAAAATGTTTCATCGAGGAGATTCCAGATGAAACAACTGTTATAGGTATGATTATGGTTGATTAATAGTTTTGGAAATTTAGCTGAATAAATTGCTCACGTCAAATATTTTATTTTCAATAGTTAACTACAAAGTAGAGCTGTACGATCCAAGAAGCCAAGGTTTCATGCCCAGCAGCCCTGGCATTGGTATGCACGTTGAGGTCAGAGATCCTGATGACAAGGTCGTACTGTCCAGAGTTTACAGCTCTGAAGGTATGATTTCCTTTACCTCGCATACTCCTGGAGAACATGTAATTTGTTTGTATTCAAATAGTACTGCATGGTTCAGTGGCGGACAGCTGGTAAGTCAAAGTGACATATGTTTATTTTTTGGTTGTTTTAAATTATCATCTCTTTTTAAATGAGAATAAATCAATGAAATAAACTCACATCAAAAATTGAAGCAACAAGATTAAATTGGAAAATTTTCAATTGAAAAGTTGACTATGTGAAAAATGAATTCCTTGTTATTCATAACCTAAACTTGTATTTGTTTTTGTACATGCGTAGCATCAAATGACAGCCTTTTGAAACATGACTATGTATTGGAAGATACACCATATTATTGAAAATTGTAATGTAGTGATAGCCTGTATTATATTTACTAATTTATTCTTGAATTTTTAGAGGGTACATTTGGATATTCAAGTTGGAGAACAAGCTATTGACTACGCTAATGTTGCTCAAAAAGAAAAGCTCACAGAACTTCAACTGAGAATTAAGCAACTCATGGATCAAGTTGTACAAATTACCAAGGAGCAAAGTTATCAAAGAGTAATTATTCAAACAAATATATTTTATTTATCTGTACAGTTTACAATATTTATCATAAATTTTTATTCAATTCCAGTACCGTGAAGAAAGATTCAGACAAACATCCGAGAGTACAAACAAAAGGGTACTCTGGTGGTCTGTTGCACAAACTGTTATTCTAGTAGGCATGGGAATTGGACAGATGCGTCATCTGAAGAAATTCTTTGAAGCAAAGAAATTAGTATAAGCATCAAAATTCATATGTGATAGTCGAAAATTGCATGAATCAAGATTGTATTTGTTGTATAGTGGACAATGATCTATTTGAAATGAAAAGTTGATACTTCAAGTTTTTTTTTAGGTAAATGATAAACTGAAAAATTTCCGTTGTTTTCTGTTAATATTTTAATTTTCTACAGTGAAAGAGACTCCTACATTCACACTTATAACTGATAATATTCATCTGTAAATTCAATGTTCATACAAAACTTGTATTTTATACCATAAATGTAATTACAATTATATATAAAAAACAGTTATTATTTAAAATTCAATTGAAACCGTTTTTATACAATTGTAATAAGTCTCACTAATGCACCTTACTTACGTGTGAACAACCAATCAAACAACATCGTATCTGTGATAACACCTGTTATAAATTTAATACCCGATCTAAATTTAATTATGATGAAAATTTTATCAATTGATGTTTATTTTCAAACTACGTGCTACGACATGAAAAATTGAATCGACTTTCTATCGTTAGATTCATTATACCTAATGATACTTCGCGCTGGGATACGAGCGTTGCAACGTTACGTCGCGAATTTGTTTCGCAAGGGCACAGGAAGATCGCGCGCAAGTGTCGCGCGTTGTAAATCGTACGTATAGCCGTGCTAATACCACAGGCGAAATTATCTCGTGCGCGCGTGTGTGTATACATGTGTACACATCGTCGTCGTCGTCGTTGTCGTCCGCGAGGTTCTTCTGTCGTCGGTGTCTTTGGTCGAGCCAAGAGCTGCGCTGCCAGAAAATATATCAAAACTCGCTCGCTGTGTGCAGTTCGGGACGATTTCATTCGTCAACATCACATAAATTTCGTTGTCCAGTGATCGAAATTCGACAAAAGGTTGTAAAATGTCCTCCGCACCAGTGACCGTACCCAAGAAGAGCGAGGAGCAGCAGCAGCAGCAGCTGATCAACAAAAGCGAGGATGCACTCTCGAGATCGCCGGTAATCGGCCGCGAGATGGTCAACAGCATCGAGAACGATCAAGAAGTCGGCGTGCCACTGCAAACGCCTTGGACATTCTGGCTCGACAAGTCAGTATTTTCATAATTTACATTCGTTCTCGTATATCGATAATCGCAAATTGAGAAGGCGTCTCGCTCTTTGAGGTGTTCGCGTTTCATATCTTATTATATATATTCGTGACGTTGCGCATACGTATGTATTTATTCTTTCTTTTTGCTGGACGAGCGAAGCAGCTCAGCGGTACTTAGCGGCAGCAGACCATTTTTATATTCTGCGTGTTCGGGCGCGTGCGGCTCGAACGATCATACAGTTCGTAGGAATCGTATTCCCCTTTTTTGTCCGCGTCGAGTAAAGTCGGTGAACCGCGCCGGCCGCCGGTTGAGTTTCGCATCTCGCTAGAAAGATGGCACGACCCGTTGTTGCCGCTTCGTCGTTTTCGCGGCTCTCTTCGGCCTTTCTTTTTTTCAAAAAATTATTTATAAATCATGCATGCGTGACGCGAAAAGCTTGAATTAATGCAATCGCTTTACGCGATAAATAAAATTACGCCTGCCAGTCGAGGAGTGAAAAATTGACCGCCGTTAACGTAAACGATATGTCAACAACAATGTCGAATTGATTTTTTGTATATTGCCCAAAATACAGAGAGAGAGAGAGAGATAATCACAAACACTTCCGGGCCCGCGCGCGTTCGCGAATGACGTCGGTCGTCTGAGAATCGGAGGAATTCCACGATAAAAAGGCCATTTTCCGTGCGCTTAAGAGCAGAGAGAATTACCATTTCGTTGAAATTCTATAAATCAGAAAAAACACTTCTTTTAATCGATAAGTACCTATTGACACATCGTTTATGAGTCCCATCTTTTTGGTAAACAAAAGCACGTCGCGCTCGCATTCTCCACTTGTTGTTTATTACTTTAACGGCACCAAGGTACCGCTTTTTACGCGCGGCTATTTCGCGCTCGATTTCATCTCGATTTCACACGCCTTCGAGTACGTCATGCGTTTATAATTAATCGAGGCGCGGATGCAAAAATGACCTCATTATTGATGAATTTGTTTGATTTCTAACGTTTTGTTCTTTTTTTTTTTTTGTTATTTTTTCGTTTCACTCACGTTCCACACCAACCCCTTTTCAAATGCATTACACACGAGCAGAGCAATATCCGGAACGACGACGGAGGAGTACAAAGCCAATTTAAAAAAGATCTACACCGTGAACACGGTACAGAAGTTCTGGGCCGTTTTCAATCACATCCCGAGCGCCAGTGAAATTCAGGTACGATTACACCCCCATGTTTCCTCCTATATACGAGTATACGTTACACGCAGCTGGATCGTGCGCGTGTGCAGCAGTGCGCGTAATTTGCGTGAGGCGAGCATCGATAAACGGACGCACTCGGTTGCGCCTCATTATCCGGAGAGCTTACGAAAATTCAATCGTCAATTTGCGCGATTTTATAATTATACATAATTTCTTCGTTTTTAGGAACGATACAGCTACCATTTGATGCGCGACGAAAGGTACCCTCTTTGGGAAGAGCCGTTCCACCAGAAGGGAGGTACCTGGAGATTCAAGTGCCATAAAAATGATACCGTTAGTATACATCGATATATTTTCATAAATTCGCCGTATTTTCAATCCTTTTATTCCTCCGTCTGCGAGCTTGAAATATTTGATTTTATTTCATTATATAAAATGTCTACTATCTATATACATGTGTGTGTCTGCACAGGCGAAGGTGTGGAAGGAGGTCGTGGTGGCGGCGATAGGCGAACAGTTCAGCGAGTGTTTGGCCGAGGACGACGAGGTTTGCGGTGTCACCGTCTCCATTCGCGACAGAGACGATCTTATTCAAGTGAGTTATCGATTCTAACGCGCGTCACGTTTTTTTCCCTCTTTCCCTCCGGAGAGTAGTAGTAGAACAGACGTACGAGCGCAAAAGTTCGCTGATTGTCGCTCTCTCTCTCCTACTCCCTGAGAGAGAGAAGGAGAAAAGACGTCTGCGATGAATATATATTTTTTTCTCTCTGTCTCTCTCTTTTTTTTCAAACAGAAACGATTCTCTCGTTTTTTCAGATATGGAATACGAGTGCCGAATTAGCGCCGAAGGCTAAACTCTTGGAAAAAGTTCACAGTCTTGTACCTGAGATTAAATTCGTGGCGGAATTTTATAAACGTAAGCCTTTCTTTCTTGTGATCCCGTATGTAGAGGGGTGCATAATATAAAATGCCCGATCCAAAAAATAAAATTGTTTTTCCTCTTTTTTTTTCAGCGCATCAATCGCATCACGCGTATAATCGGCATTAGGCTGCGTGTACGCATCGACGAGCTTCCAAGCATTGTGATAGTTCAAACGAATAAATCAAAGAAGTTACTGTATAGAGGATAAATAGTTCAGACTCAACTGTATAAACAATTTTTTACTTTTATTATTCACGACCGTTTCCTGTCACGTATTGTTTATTTAATGTCTTGTTGAATAATACATGTCAAATATCGCTTACTGCTTCGTAAACATTAAATTTTATTTTTATATTTACAACTTGTGCAATATTTTATCGGCTTTTTATTTATTATTCACCCGTTATCCTATCTCTCTCTGAAGCCTGCCCATCGACGAGTTTTTGAGCTAGATTATTGGAATCTACATCGAACCAAACAAAACTATTAAAGTCAAAGAAAAGAAAGATGAAAAAACTGATTGAAAAAAAGCAAAATAATAATAAAACAGTTGTGTCGAAATGTGTTTACATCGAGTTGTCCGCGCACCGATAATAAACTCGATAATCCGGGGCCTGATTGGAACATTTAAAAAAAATTTTTTTCTTCATTCACTTCGTCCGTGCGAAAAAGAGCAGATCTCCATAGTCCACACGCGCATCGCATTTGCCGTTGTGCACACGTGCGTATAATATTCACACAAAGTACTCTGGAGGGGAGGGGGGGGAGGGCCATTAATCATTTTACGTCTCACTCGAAATTCGTCTATGCCATTTACGATCGCGAAACTGATTGATCGGACGAGATTTATAATGTACAATGCATATTTATTCGTGGATATGCCCGTTCTGTATATGGACACAAAGCACTTTCAGGATATAACGTCGGAGGAACGAAACATTGACCTGAAAAATCGCACGCACGTTTATTATTTAAGAACTTTTTTAATTGCTGGGTGGTAAATTTGGTAGGTAGAATTTTAATGTCCATTATTAATTACGAAATAATAATAACTGTAGTGATAAATTACTGTATTATTATTTTTGATGCATATTTAGAGCATTTATTACGCAAATGGGAAAATTTTTTTTTACATCTACAATGTCTTATTTTAATGGTTATTTGTCTCTGTAATGATAAAAGTATTCAAATAAGTAAACACAGTAATTGATTGTTTTAAATCAATTTTTATTGATTCCAATTAAGAACTACTCTTTGACAATTAAATTTAATTTTTAGTAAAATATTTCGATTTTTCATCGAATTTAAAACAGGCACACTTTTTTATGAGTATAAATTTTATAAACGTCACAACAAAAATCACAATCGTATGCCCTGCATTTTTATTCGTAATTAAAAATACTATTTCTGTAGAGTATCAAATCAATGTGCGCTAAAAGATTATTAAATTCAAAACTTCTGTTCAGAAATAAAATTTGTACATAATTATTATAAATTTATAGAAACTCTTATACATTTTTATGAACTTAAATACCTAAATAAAGTTCGGATTTTGGATACATAAAAATTTATAAAAGTTTATAAAAGTTTACGAAAGATCACAAAAGGTAAAAATTGTTTTATTTCAACTCAAAACTAGCTGAAATTATAGTCAAATAAAAATTTAAAAAAAATTATATAGCTCTAAATTAAAAACTCAGTTTAAGTATAGTGAAGTATTTAAAAATTTTTACAAAAGTTTATAAAAGTTGATCAAAGCTTTTAAACTTTGAACAAATTTTATAAGCTTTTTAAAAAGTTTTACAACTTATTTAAACTGAAATAAAATATTGCATTTGGACACTTAATTTCCGTAGGGAAATGAATGAATTGATTCTGTGCGTGAGAGAATGGTGAGCTGGTGTGATGTATATAGTGTGATGCATTAAAAGGTGTTTACACACACCTTAAAATTCAAAAAAATTGTAAATGCATGAAAATATAAGTCTGAGAAGTGAAGCCCTGAACCCTCATGTATTAAATCTATACATCGAATTAAAGAGGCTTTAAATGCTCGTAGCTCCAAGCTATATCGGCATTGGAGAAATTCCGTATTATCGCATGCAGAACGGGCGCCGGCAGACGGGTCCCCATGCAAAGCCACTCGGCCACCGGCTCCAGATACACGTTGAGCACGTAGATGCCCTTGTCGAGGGCTATCTGGCGCTCGCGTATGCGCTCGAATCTCGTCGCGAGCATGTCCGCGTAGATCGGATACCGCTTGCGGCGCTCGTGCTCGTAGAACACCCAGCCGATGTCGCGCCAGGTCGTGTCCACGTCCAGGCTGTCGATGTCGCGAAACGCGAAGGTCCTGAAGACCGAGCAGGAGATGTCCTCGCTGAAGTAGTCGGTGCGCATGCGCTCGAGCTCCTTCTGGCACTCGCGGCTGAATCGGGCGAGCCAGGGCGCGTTCTCGGCGCGCGCCACCCGATCCAGCGAGTCGAGGGTCATCGTGCGCATGCGCAGATGCTGCTGCACGAGGAGTTTGGTGCGCTTGGTGGACTCGCGCGACAGCCTCAGCGAGCACTCGAGCGGCGTGTGACCCTCGAAGTCCATCGCGTCGTGATCGGCGCCGTGATCCAGCAGCAGCGCCAGCGAGTCGGAGAAATCGTGGCGCACCGCCAAGTGGACGAGCGACGACATGTGCAATACTCCTCTATTCGAGGGAAATTAAAAATTAAAAATTAATGAGCGAGTGTTACATAGAAAACAAACCGCAAACAATTAAGTTAGTCAGCGCTTTTCTCGCCTTGAAAAAATATCCTGTAGAATCCCGCGACAGGACTCGTGTAGGAATTTCGCAAACTTTACATGCAATTTTTTCAAGGGTCATCAAAAATAATATCATATAAATTAATAGTAAACCATAATATAACTTATTCAAAATTTTTTAAATAACCCTGTAAAAAAAAATTAAAAAATGATTATGTTCAAAAGTTATTATGAATTTTCAGAATATATCTTCATTTATCTTCAACAAATCGTTGCAATTTTTTTCTTGAAAGCTACATGATATTTTTCCGATGTCCAAATAATTTCAGTTTTTTCTAATCAATTATGTACCTCTCCAAATTTTCCAAAAATTTAAAAACAGGGACGTGATTTTCGCAGTAATTGACGAATCCTTATGTTTTTGGTCTTCAAAAAATTTTAATTGCTTTTCACTCAACGCCACATCAAAAATATTTCAAAAAACTATTTTGATCCTTAGTAAATGCAAAACTCTTCTCTATTCGTTAGGAATTGAAAATTAAAAATTAACGAGCGAGCAATGCATAGAAAAAAAACCGCGGTCAATGAATTGGCAAGTAGCTTTCTTCTCAAAAATAATAACTTATTTGATAATTTTTTAATAAACCTGAAAAAAAAATAAATAAACAATTATGTCTAAAAGCTTTTACAAAAAATACGTTTCTCACTATAATTCACAAGATCAAATTTTTAGGCTTTGTCTATATCACACAAATGCACATAAATGTACAATAAAAGTACAATATATGTGCACTGCGATTTATTACGATCTGTATAACATACACATAAACACGTACGCATGCAACTTATCAGACCCGTCGCCGTTAGACGGCGCACTTCAAAATACACCACTCACAAATAAACGAATAGAGAAAATGGAATAAGTTCAACCTACCTTCGGAAGTTGGCACCTGCGTCTAATAAAATTTTGACCATCTCCGACGACGGGAGCGCGTAAAACAGAGGCGTCTTCACGGCGTCGTGATTATCGGTACGATTCGGCCGCTCGACCTCGCCGGTACCCAAGTACCGTATGAGGTATTTAACGACCTCGACCTTGCCGAGCTTTATGGCCGAGTTGAGCAGCGTCAGCTGGTCCGGATGATGAGTCGCTGCGCACATCTGCGGACGGTCGCAGCCAACGCTCCAGTCGTTGTAGCGGGTTAGCGCCGATCCCAGCCTGTTCGACCACCATCTGCTGTGATCGGCTCCGCGCTCCAGGAGAAACTGAACCTTCTGCTGTCGGCCGCTAATTATCGCACAATGCAGCGGCACCTCGCCTTTATCGTTGACTGCATTGATATCGGCATCTATACGCATACAATTGCATCGTCAATCGATCGATCGTAGGCAATGCATTCCAACAAAATTGAAATTCGCTTGCGGTTCCCCGACGGAAAAAAACTTACAAGAAAGAGTAAAAGTAGAAGTTAAAAATATCATATTGAATTATAAAATGTAATAAACTTTAAAAAAATGTAAAACTACTAACTATTTCAGACAGTATAAAATGCGCTTAAAATCAGCATGTGATCGCATACACCGCAGCAAGTGATTTTCGTGAAAAAATATTTATTGATTATTATGAATAAATAAAGATAAATTTATGAAGGATACGTATAAAAACTAATTTCAGCCATCTCAGTACTCCTCATTATATCTATGATGATGTTATAATGCTTTCTGCTGCATTAGAACGAATGTACTTTTTTCACGAAAATAACTTGCTGCGGTTACTGACCGGAATTTCAAATTCATAAGTGAAAATTGTAATATTTAAGATAATAAATAAATTATTATTTCAGAATTTAATGTTTTTTTTTACACTTTTTACTTTTTCCATGTAACTTTAATGAGCTTGCATTCATAGGAGTTTTCATCTTTTTAGTGATCAGTAAACAAATGTACACTGATAGAAATTTACGAACTCGGTTATGAAATCCGCTGTGTTTGGCTCAAGAATTATATGATTTCATGAACCAAGACCACATTTTACCTGTGACAAGTAATTTTTCGTCACGTGGCAAGAAAATCAAGAATTCTTTTCTTTCGTGCGGATTTCATGGCAGAGTTCGTAAATTTATATCAGTGTAATAAACTGTAATAAAAAGTAAAAAAGTGTAGAAAAACGTATCACAATCGTCCGAAATCGTTAGTAATCTTACGTTATTTTACACTTTTTTACTTTTCATCACAGTTCACAACATTCTCATGTACTTTATTTTAAAAAATATAAAAACATTTCCGCTGGGGTTTTACCTCTGCTCAGCAGTATCTCTGCCATTTGCTTCTGATCGTCGGTCAACTGGCCGCGATCCACCATCAGCTCGTGCAGCATCGTGTTGGAGTCGTCGGTCACGAAGCTCGTGCTCGCCCCGAGCTCGATGTAGTGCACGAATATGCCGACGTCGTTGGTCTTCATGGCGTAGTGCAGCGGCGTCTCGCCTTTGCTGTCCCGAGCGTTGGGGTTGGCCCGGGCCTCGGCCAGCCTCAGCGACATCCAGCGAATGTCCCTGGACGACACCTCGTCCGGGTTTCGGAATTTGGCCGCCGTGAGGAAGTGCAGCGCCGTGAGTTTGCACTCGCGCGTCCTCGCGTCGGCGGCGCCGCCGTTCCTCAGCAGCAGCGACACGGCCGGGATGTTGCCGCTGTTGCAGGCCACGAGGACGGGCGTCAGGCCTCTGCTGTTGGTGTAATTTACGTCCGCGCTGAATGTCAAATGATCGATGTTTAGTTCATTTTTTTTCTTTTTTTTTTTTCAAAAAAATTCAACAGATTTCGACTAACCCAGCTTCTATCAAACACGACAGAATCAAGTCGTTTTTATGATATATGGCCTCCATCATGGGCGTAAATCCACGCCCGTTTTCAACATCCAAATTAGCGCCAGCGTTTACCAGAGTAACGAAGTTATCTTTGGTCGCTTCGCTGTTGCACGCAAGCTGGTGCAACTCCGTATCCGGGATGTCTTTTCTGCGATGGGACATGTAATCGAAATCGCGGTACGCGCGACCTATTCGTGAGAAAAAAGCCATGTCTTCGAACTGCAATACGAGAAATAGACGTTTCACATTGAAAACAGTTGCTGAACATTCGGGTAAAAAAAATATGCATAGAGGCACTTGCAAAATAATTTACTTGAGACGATCTGATCGCGTATACGAGTCGCGCGTCACGATGAAAGCCCACTCTCCTCATCTAGTGCACAGCTCCTGACCAGAGTAATTATTTTTAAATAATCACTCGGTCATCGCCCACTGACTTTTCTGAAGCTCTCTTACGACTGCGTGCGATGGAACTTCGTCGTCGGTATTTCGGAAATTTGGACGGACGTTGCTGCGCAATCAAATATTCGTATTTCTATTTAATCCATTTATATTTATGATATAACATTTATATTATAAATTATAAGTAATCATAAGTAATAAAATTATTATAAAATTAGATAAATTATAATATAAAATTATAAATATTACATTATAAATATAATTATAATCTGTCTGAGCAGCTCAGTTTCAAGCACTCGGATCATCCAGTCAAAGTATAAAATTTTACATGCTTCCTATCGAAATATTAAAAATTTCGGATCATCTCGAACTTTGTTTTCTCGCAAGAGGACCTCAATGAAATTGTTTGGAAATACGATATCCTCTTGGAATAGATGATTAGGCAAACGTGTTTTGATCTGTCGGATGTTTATTACACGTGCGCACCGATAAAAATCTCGCCGTTGGAACACGGAAACTCGAAAAAAAATTTTTTTATTTTCTTCATCGTTGGACAACTAAATTTGACGAAGAAACAAGCAATAGAGCATGAGTCTAATAACGCGATAGTGTCTCTATAAATTCGCGTAGGTGGTATCGTGATATTTGTTGACATTTGGTGAATTCTATGTTATTCACTTCACTCTCTTTTTCTCTACTCGTGTACCACACGCTTGGTTGCACATGTATCTACGAGCGTTAAAAATAATTTTTATTTTTTTCTAGCGTGCTGTTGACGATCACAGCACAATTTTTACGGCATAATTCCTCTCGCGAGCCATGAATCGATCGATTTACGAATTGATTTTTTTTTCCGTTCAGTAAATGAAAAGTTCACCATGAATATTCAGATATTATTTAGCAGCAGCGCCAATGCGACGTTGAAAAAAATTTATTTTCGAATTTTGCGGTTTGTTAAGTTTTATAGAGCAATTTTTTACAATTCATATTCTTGTTATAATATTTACGTGTTCCAATAATTATCAATTTAAATTTAAATTTAACCAATTGAATCGTATTTATTAGCAATAATTCTTTCGAATTTGTATCAATATATTGAAAAAAATTAGCACTTACTATACACTGGAAAAAAAATAAAAATAATCTTTATTATTAAAGATATAAGATATATATAAAGATATAATATAAAAAAATATCTTTATTATTAAAGATTTTTCTCATTTTTAAGTTTGATAAAACACAGTTTCCTATAAATTTGCAATTAGAAATGTTTCATCTTTGAGGTCTAAAAATGAGATAAACCATCTAATAGGCCATTGCCATGAAATACCTGGTTTTGGAATTATAGTAAAAATTTAACATTAAAGACTTTCATAATATTCTAATTGTTGTCTTGAAAACTTAATGTCATTTACCATGCAGTTATAAAGAAATATTAATGTAACAAAAATTTGAATTTTTCGCTCAAAAATATTTTTTTAACATTTTAAACCATTTGAAATAAAATGTACTCTTGTTATTTTATTCTAAAATCTATTGTTCACAAGCCTATAAACGAATCAATGAAAATTTTTAAAGAATGAATCTTTGAGATTTTTTATCTCAAATCTATAAACTCTATAAAAAAATTGAAAAGAACAAAAAAGTCTTAGAATTTGTCAAGGGAAGCGTATGAATTTTTTAGATTTCTTCTAGTTACACTTAGAATTTTTACTATATTTACCGCAAGAGCATCCTAAAGGTAAAATGTTCTTAATGGGCTGAGTTTAATGGAATTTTGATTTAACCCTTCATATGAAATACATTATTTAATATATTCTTAAAAACATAAATCAATACTTTTGTTTTTTGCTTTTCTCAGATTTGTTAGAATAGAATTTTTGAAATAATTATAGAAATTCCTCAAAACTTAGTCCTCGAACACTTTCTTAAACAAATTGTTTTAAACAAGAGCTCTCTACATCTAAACCTATGTAAAAAGATTTATGTAGACTAAATCAAAGTGTCAAAAATTAAACTTTTCAGAAAAATAACAATGATGATTAGGCACTGATTTCATTATCACTAAACGAATAGCTTGGCGTATAATGGTTGATCATAACTTTTTTCACGCAAGTTCAGAATGTCTGATAATATTTCACATGTATTTTATACAGTAAATCAAGTCCTCTACTAATTATAAAATTGTGACAGTCATGGTTGAAATATCATTTTAGTAACATGAATTTGAACTTTATTAGCACTTGCATATGAATTCTGATACTAAAAAGAATTAAATCAATCTCCAATTGAAAAATTGAAAAACACAAGTCTGACAAAACTCTCATGTAATAAATATACACAAGGCAGATTCATACAAATACATGCAAACGACTATGAGTTGTTCGTCAACGTATCAATTATCAAATTTTATGTAGAATGAGTGACTAATTTCTGATTTCCTTTGCTTCTGCATACTGCAGTAACAAATAATAGCTTTCACTATTTCTGTGGTGCTTAGCAGCAACACTTACTGTAAATTTGAAGCGTACAAATTCTTCTGTTCAAGCTGTGCTCCAGATTGAACATTATTAACATCCAATAGAGAGAGTAAAATCTTGGATGCAAAAAGTTATACACTTATTTTTGACACTTGATTATTATCAACACTGAGACAACAAAAAATATATACTAGATTACATCACAGACAAAACAACAATTATATGACTAATTTATAATTTAATATAGTGTAACATATGAAATGCATTTATCAAATGATTTTACAGTTTTCTGCTGCTACATCTGCATGTTACTTCTGCTTTTACGGTTGAGCTCTGCTCATAATATTGCTACCTAGAGAGGCTATGTGTTTTGTTTACGAATTCAGTCGATAATTTTCAAATATAGAGGCAGCACTGCGTATATAACAGTGGACGCGCGACTGCTTGAAGCAGAATAAAAATCGAAAAATACGCATAATAAAAATAGGTTTCTTTTTAACTACATCGTTTGGAAAGTGAGTCATTTACCAATGAATGAATAACATCTGCGTAAACTTAGACATTTTTATGTTGAATTTTAACAAATACAGCATCCCCCATTTCGACGTTGCTTGCAACAAGCCACGAATTTTAATGGATGTAGCATAAACACCCAGATGTCGTTCAAATGCCATGTACATCTCAGCATTTTTACAGATTTTCTAAAAATACGTTCAGGAATCGATATAACTTTTGAGCAGGGAAATGAATTTTAAAAATAGTATCTCCTTATTTAATTGCAAAAAACATAATGTAATATTTATAAATAATCGGACGCTAAAATTAATCAATTTATCAATCGCAAAGATATAATTTATTTTTAGTAAAGTTAGCTTGAACGTCAATAATATTTTTCTATTTGATTTTTCATTTACATTTCAAATTATTAGCTTCTAATGGATTATTGCAGTTTTAAGAACAATTATCTTACATTGACTCTTTCCACAACCGGTATTGACATGAAATATTAATATTAAAACAGATGCACTAATAAATTTATTACTTTTGTTTGGTCTTTATATTTGACTGATACTGAAAAATTGGGGATTTTAAAAATAGTAAAAAAAGTTCGATGATTATTTTAAACAATTCGATATTTTACAAAACTTTTTTTAAAAGGCCAAAAAAATTTCTCGCAAAAGTCGTCATCAAGTTAGAATTTTAAACTAGTTCAAATATTGTAAAGAGAATGTATAAACAGATAAATCGATGATTTAATTGTAAACAATATGATAATAAACGATTTCATCATCGTCCTTTGAACACTGATTGCTTTTATAGTAAAAATGAATTAGTTTGAATGTTGTCATTTCTGATGAAACAAGCCATAATACCAAGAGATAAATTCAACTCATTCGATTTCCGTGGTATTAAATAGAAGGATCTAACGTTTAATTCACAAAAATGGATAAAAGTGAGATGAAATCCGAGGAAGTTTTCTTGAAAGATAATTCAAGTGAACAAGACATTATTTTATCCGATGAAAAACAACATGTTTGTGATATTTGTCAGGAGGCATTTACACTAGAATCAAGCTTGATAGTACACCGAGACACAATTCACAATCAACAAAAAGATTACTCATGCGACAAGTGCGAAAAGAAATTCGAGTTCCGAAGTCATTTGAGCAGGCACCAAATATTAGAACACAAAGGCCGCATAGATTTTGCATGCGACCAGTGCGAGAGAAAATTTGTGAAAAAATCAAGTTTGATTACGCACCAAAAATTAGTACACAAGAATCGCAAAGATTTCTCATGTAACAAGTGTGACAAGAAGTTTCAAAATAAATCAACTTTACTCAAGCACAGAAAAATATTCCACGAAATTTTCAGAGATTACTTATGTGAAAGGTGCGCGAAGAGATTCGGAAATAAACATAGCTTGCTTTTACACATAAAAACAGTCCACGAGGGTCACAAAAATTTTGCATGTAACAAGCGCGAAAAAAATTTTGGATTTAAATTAGATTTGTTGAAGTACCAAAAGACAGTTCATAAAGGTCGAATGGATTACGCATGTGACAGATGCGAGAAGAAATTCGGACACGAACAGTCTTTGCTCTATCACCAAAAAACAGCCCACGAGGGTCACAAAGATTTCGCCTTCAAACATTACTCCTGTGAAGATTGTGGGAAGAAATTTAGAAAAAAATCTAATTTGTTTGCGCACATAAGAACAATCCACGAAGGTCAAAAAGATTACACATGCGATAAGTGTGAAAAGAAATTTGGGTATCGAAGCAATTTGATAAAACACCAAAATACAGTCCACGAAGGTCATAAGGATTTCGCATGCGACAAGTGTGAAAAGAAATTTGGACATAAATTTACTTTGATCGGGCACCAAGAGGCAGCCCATGAAGGTCGCAGAGACTATGCATGCAATGAGTGCAAAAAGAAATTTGGACGAAAATCGACTTTGCTCTTACACCAAAAGACAATCCACGAAGGTCAAAAAGATTACACATGCGATAAGTGTGAAAAGAAATTTGGGTATCGAAGCAATTTGATAAAACACCAAAATACAGTCCACGAAGGTCATAAGGATTTCGCATGCGACAAGTGTGAAAAGAAATTTGGACATAAATTTACTTTGATCAGGCACCAAGAGGTAGCCCATGAAGGTCGCAGAGACTATGCATGCAATGAGTGCAAAAAGAAATTTGGACGAAAATCGACTTTGCTCTTACACCAAAAGGCAGTCCACGAAGGTCAAAAAGATTACACATGCGATAAGTGTGAAAAGAAATTTGGGTATCGAAGCAATTTGATAAAACACCAAATTACAGTCCACGAAGGTCATAAGGATTTTGCATGTGACAAGTGTGAAAAGAAATTTTCACAAAAACTGGGTTTGCTCTACCACCAAAATACAACCCATGATGGTATTAAAGATTTTACGTGTAAAAATTGCGATAAGAAATTTGGACAAAAATCAGATTTGTTAAAGCACCAAAGGACAGTACACGAAGGTCGTAAAGATTTCGCATGTGACAAGTGTGAACAGAAATTTACACAAAAACCGAGTTTGCTCTACCACCAAAATACAGTACACGACGGTCGCAAAGATTATGTATGCGACAAGTGCGAGAAAAAATTTGGAAAAAAACAGAATTTGTTTTTTCACATGAAAACAGTGCATGAAGGTTGCAAAAATCACGCATGCGGCAAGTGCGAAAAAAAATTTGGGTATCAAAAGAATTTGATCACACACCAATAAGCAGTTCACGATAAACATGAGAAGAACTGATGATTGCTAATTGTAAATACGTGTAAACATTTATACATCCGTTTTTCTAAAATTTCAATAAAAATTGAGCGAATTTGATTGAATATGATTGATCTTGACAGCATCTCGTCGTATTACCTATTATTGCACCTATGTTCTCTGTCGTGATTGGTGCTTTATTTTTCAATCAAACGATGCTAATTTCTACTCTTCGTGCCTTTGGTAGCAAGAATTTTTTCACTTTTTTTATAAACCTTAGGTCATGATAAGCAACCCTGAATTTATCAAAAACGTCGTTTTTGAAGATTTTGATAAATTTGTGACTGGAAAATAATTATTTCTGTCAGTGTTTTATTGAAAGAAGCAACTTGGAAATCATTTAATTATTTAATTTAAACCAATTAGTACTTTTTACATTCTTTACAATTATTAGAAACCTTCTAATTGATACACTAGTTTTCTTAGTACTTTCCACAATCCTATTTTAATTATGATTCGATTCTAATTTACTGAGTTTTCCAAAATCAACTCAACCGAGAGGCAAATGATAAATTGCGTGGGGTAGCTCTTTGTCTAATCCGCTACTGATTATGTAGATTCTATTCTGACAATGATCGAATTTCCCTATTTTTAAAATGAAACCCACAACTTTAATTATTTCGAAGAAAGTTACTAATAAAAACTTGATAAAAATATATAGGACAACTTTGGAAGATTTATAAGTTTAAATAATTTTACTTCCAAATTGTACTATTTGACAAATATTTATACTTACAAGTCTCGATCAAGGTTTTGAAATGAGGTTAAGCTCAGATTATTAGAAAATTATTCCTTTAATCGTTTCGGACGAAAATGGAAAAAAAAGAAGAAAGAGCAATATTTTTCAAGTATGATACAGACAAGCATAGGATATCTCTTCATGTCGACGTAATTATTGAATCATTTGTGGCGCCGTCTAGCTCGGGCCCGGGCGCCGAAGCTTAAGTAAAATTCATAACAAAATTCAGGAATGCCGAATATCAAAAAGTGTTGTTCTTCGGTTTTTTAATGTTTGCCAGATGTCTTGAAAATTATGCGCGTATATATAATAAATAGGATCGCTCGCGTTGGCTTTTTTTGCATACAAGACGGCGAAGAACCAGAAACGCGGGGATCGATAAATTCTACAAGGTGTTTGGTGCTCTCTCTCTCTCTCTCTTTCTCTCTCTCTCTCTCTCTCTGGTCAAAAAAACACAACTATGAGCATGACCTACAAATATATGTATAATGACCCTGAATGAATCTAAAATTGATAATCGGTTTTCGAGGCATCATTTACCATTTAAACATTGGAGAATTTTGTATCGTTGATTGACAAATAAAATCTAAATTATCGACAAATAAGCTATCTCGCTTTTTATTATCAAACTCTCTCCATGCACTGTCCTGTCAATCATTGAAATACGAAAAATATAAAAAAAAAACGGAATCGAAGAGATATTGAATATTTTCACGCGCGAAAAAGTCAATGATTGCTTGAAGCATCGCCGTGACACCGCACGTCAAAACCCAAGAAGTACATCGCGAAAAATGTTTTTTCACCAATCAACGCACCGCACAAAGCTCTTGTTATGAATTATATTTTAATTTATCGGTTTCTCGGTCAAGGTCGCAATTGCCTTCTCGAAAGGAATTAATTTTAATACCAAATAAAGTGGTTTTGATTTGCAAATTTGAAGAGTATGCGCGGGCGCGCGCGCGGAGATTGCTTCGAATTGATAAAAAAAGCCAATTCACTCCATCAAAAAAATCCTTTTTACATATTTTTCCAGCCGGAGTGTGCGCGTGCTCTCGACTTCATTGTTTGTGCTATTTCAAAAGCTTTCCATTTCAAAAGCTGTACTACGGTTGTAAAGACTTGGTATATATACGTCAAATTTAATTTGATCGATAGGGAATCTCATTTTTCATTCCTCGGGTCTATATAAAAAATATTTTTTCCATCAAACGCC